TGATGTTGCATTTGATGACTGGTCATGACCTCGGTACCACCCACAACGCAATGCAGTGCCACCTTAGTCCAATGCCACATCAGCATGCTCTCATCATCAATCAAACATTCCGCCTGTATCCCACGGCTAATAATGTCGTCAATAGCCTTCCGGTGCACCCCTCTCTACCCAGGGCGTGCACCTAGTGTAGCCTGACGTCACAAGTACCCACTGCGAAGAAGCATCATCAACACACCAAGTCTGTATATCGCCAGCGTGCCAAAGGTAAGTGGGGATCAAACCAGTTCCGATACCAAATTGCAAGGAACATGAGTATGGACAAAGCACAGAAATCCAGAATGCAAAATCACACCGAAGACCAAGTAGTCAAAGCCAAAGCAGATAGTACAATGGAACCGAGTAACCATCCAATTGAGAATGATACAGAAGAATCGTGAGTCAATGTCCATGCCCCACAGGGCAACACCAACAGCATAACCCAATGTAGCTCTCTCTCATGAGTGGCGCCAGGCACCCTATCTACTCTACAGCTACAGCCTACAACTACAGCAATGAAAAGCAACCAGACAACTTGACTACCAGTGAGTGATGATGTCAACACCAATGCCGACGTCCCTCTTCACCCAGGTACGTGTCCACTTCCCACACTCTCCCTTGTTACCCACACAGCGCCCTTCACCTCCGAAGTACCACCTTCGCCCTTCACCTCTCTGCGCCCTCTGCAGCCCGGCTATGGCCGCCAAGCGCCCTGGGGCGCAGGCAGCGCCCTACCGCACAGCGCTGGCCTGCCTTGCACCTCACTTAGCGCAGCGCAGCAGCAGCCAGCAGCTCGCATTTGCGCAGCGTGCCGGCATTGCCCGCAATGGCCAAGATCCCTGCTGCCTCGCCCTGCTTGCCTATATGCCAATGCAGCATGTGGGCGGCCTCCCTTCAGCCTGCGACCGGGGCCCAGAGGCTGAACTCAGCCCGATACAGTTGGGCCCCGAGAGATGCAGTTGTGCCTCTCTCATCCAGGCCTGCGGCCAGATTCAGACAGTGGGCCGATTTCCCTTTGCATTTTCGGCCTCTTTACCCAACGTGCATTGTCGGCCTCACGTTCAGGAGCCCAGGGCCTAACTAACTCAGAGGCCTTGGGCATTTCAGCATTTGCTGAGATCCGAAACTCGGTGCACTCCAACCAACTGGCGTGCTGCAACTGTAAGGACCCCACTTCGTGAAATGTATGCACAGAGGGCTCTTGTTGATTTGCTGGCCCGCCTTCACTTAGGGCGGGCACGAGGCTTGCTGGGGCCTTAGCCCAGAACATGTACATCATGGCAAGGCCCCTTTCTTGAGGGCTCATTCCTCACACGAGGCTTGCTGGGGCCTTGGCCCAGAACATGTACATCATGGCAAGGCCCCTACTTGAGGGCTCAATCCTCACAATAATGAAATTCGAATTTATTCGGTTAATTTTCGAAAAGGGAAAAACTCTTGGAAAGAAATTTTAAAGGACAAAAAAAAAAAATTCGGGCTATTCTACGTGACAAAATGCTGAAATTTTAAAATTGGAATAAATGGAAAAAAAAAAAAATTGCTATATTTTGGGGGTTTATTTTGACTTTTTAACAAATTTAAATGATAATTATGAAAATAATTTGAATCGGGATTTTCGAATTACTTTGAAAAAAGAAAAGAAATGTTGGAAAAGAAAAGGTTAAATTCGAGAAAAAATAAAACGAAATTTGGAAAAGAAATTCGAGAATTTTCAAAACGAAAAGAAAGTTGAATTCGGATTTAAAAGTTGATTTGGTTATTTTTCGGAGTTTAATTATTTAAGTAATTAAAATGTTTGCAAGAAAAACTTTTTGCAATTTCAAAAACGGAAATGCAATTTTTGGGTGGAATGAATGAAAATTTTTGGATATTTTCGAAGGAATTGCAAGGAATATGAGTGTGAACGATATACAGAAAACCAGATTGCGAAATCACATAGCTGTAGTTGTGTCCAAGCAGAGAGTACAAAATGCACTGAGAAACCATCCATATAGAGCAATACAATGAAGTAATGAGCCAGTGTTCAAGCCCGTAGGCCACACACCCCACTACACAGTATCCAAAGTCGCTCTCTCTGCTGTCTGGCGCCCAACGCCCAGTCTACCCTACCCGACTATCCTACCTACAGCTGGTTCACGCAACAGGCTCACTTCGACACTTGAAGGCCAATGTACATGACTGTCAACTCCATGGCCGACCTCTCTTCATGCACCAGGTACGTATCTCGTCACCCTCACTCAGACCTTGATTACCCCACACAGCGCCTCCTTCCTTGAAGACCACCCGATCGCCCGCTGTACCCCCTGGCGCCCAGCAGCCCGGCTATGGCTGCCTGCGCCCCGCTGCCCTGCAGCGCCCCACCTCACCTCTCGCGCCCCGTCAGCGCCCTTGGCAGC